TCCTTTTCTCTTTCCTTTCCTTCCTTCCCTCCTCCCCCTTTCCTTCCTTCCTTTCCTTCTCTCTCCTTTCCTTTCCTTTTCCCCTTCCTTTTCCTTATTTCTTTTCCTTTCCCTTTCCCTTTCCCTTCCTTTTCCTTATTCTTTCTTTTCCCCTTTCCCCTTTCTCCCTTTCCCACTTCCCTCCCGCAGCTGCAGGGCAACCTCTTTGCCAGCCTGGACGAGTCCCTGCTGGCGCGGGCGGAGGCGCTGGCGGCGGTGGACATCGCGGTCTCGCAGAGCAAGAGCCACCCCTTCAAGCCGGACGCCACCTACCACACCATGAACAGCGTGCCCTGCACCTCCACCTCCACCGTCCCGCTGGGCCACCACCACCACCACCATCACCACCACCACCACCAGGCCCTGGAGCCCGGCGACCTGCTGGACCACATCTCCTCGCCCTCCTTGGCCCTGATGACCGGCGGCGGGGGCGGAGGAGGCGGCGGTGGCGGCGGCGGCGGGGCCCACGAAGGCTCCAACGGGGGCGGCGGCGGGGGCCTGATCTCCACCTCCTCGCACCCGCACCCGCACCCGCACTCCCACATGCACGGCCTCAGCCACTTGGCGCACCCGGCGGCGGCGGCGGCGATGAACATGCCCTCGGGCCTGACCCACGCGGGGCTGGTGGCGGCGCACCACGGAGGCGGCGGCTCGGGCGGGCAGGCGGCGGCGGCGGCAGCGGCGGCGGCTGCTGCGGCGGCGGCGGCGGGCGCGGCGGGCTTGGCCTCGCTGTGCGACTCGGACACGGACCCGCGGGAGCTGGAGGCCTTCGCGGAGCGGTTCAAGCAGCGGCGCATCAAGCTGGGCGTGACGCAGGCGGACGTGGGCTCGGCGCTGGCCAACCTCAAGATCCCGGGCGTGGGCTCCTTGAGCCAGAGCACCATCTGCCGCTTCGAGTCGCTGACGCTGTCGCACAACAACATGATCGCGCTGAAGCCCATCCTGCAGGCCTGGCTGGAGGAGGCCGAGGGCGCCCAGCGGGAGAAGATGAACAAGCCCGAGCTCTTCAACGGCGGCGAGAAGAAGCGGAAGCGGACTTCCATCGCCGCCCCGGAGAAGCGCTCCCTCGAGGCCTACTTCGCCGTCCAGCCGCGGCCTTCCTCCGAGAAGATCGCCGCCATCGCCGAGAAGCTGGACCTCAAAAAGAACGTGGTGCGCGTCTGGTTCTGCAACCAGAGACAGAAGCAGAAGCGGATGAAATTCTCCGCCACCTACTGAGCGGGGGGCGCGCTCCCGGGCACGGGCGAAGCCGGGAAACACACCCGCCGCCGCCTCCTCCTCGGCACCCTCAGACCAAAACAGACTGGAAGGACAAAAAAAGGGGGGGAGGGGAGGAGGAGGAGGAGAGAGACATGATATCTTGAGACAGAGACAGCTCTTCCCTCCCCAAAACAAACTCACTCACTCTTGGAGAGGGGGGGGGGGGAAGGCCTCGGTTCTGTACCGATTTAGAAGGGAGGAGGAAGGAGGTCTCCTCGTTTGGACTTCGGACTCTTACAAAAGAGGAGAACAAGGACCAAGGACCGCTGGGGGAACTGGGGAGGGGTGGGGGTCAAACGAGGAAGGGGACTGAAACGGGCGTCACTCCCCCAAAACAAACCCAAGTCGTTACAAATGTGGTGTGTGTGGTTGTTCCGATTCTTATTATTTCTGAGGCGGAGAGGAGGGGGGGGGAGAAGGGACTCAGGGGAGGGATGGAGAAGAAAGGGTGTCCCTTCTTTGACCCGGGTCCCCTTCAGTCAAGGAGGCCACGCGGGACACTCCACCCCCAAGTGGAAAAGAAAGTCAAACTGGGGTTAGGTTTTGTCTCCTTTTGCTATTTTCATTTTAGTTGGTTGGACTTCCATGATTTGTTTCCTGGGTATTCGCCCGGCTCCCAAATTTATTTGGCCAGATTTCATGGCTACGTGGGGACTCTCCACCCGCGAGTGGAAAGGAAAGATCTCCAAAGTCAAACTGGGGTTAGGTTTTGTCTCCTTTTGCTCTTTTTCTTTTGGTTGGTTGGGCTTCCATTATTTGTTTCCTGACTGTTCGCCTGGCTCCCAAATTACTTTGACCAAATTTCATGGCCACGTGGGACACTCCACCCACGAGTGGAAAGGAACTCCAAAGTCAAACTGGGGTGAGGTCTTGTCTCCCTTTACTCTTTTCCTTTTAGTTGGTTGGGCTTCCATTATTTATTTCCCGAACTGTTCGCCTGGCTCCCAAATTTCTTTTCACCTAGTTTTTACAGTTGGGATTGGTCCCCTTTCGTTCTTTCTTTTTATTTGGGGCTTGCAGCTTTGCGAAGCGTAGTCAGACCAAATGGGGTTAGAATGCCTCTTGGCTGGTTTGGTGGCAAACAGAGAAACCAGGGCTGGTTCTGCACTGGCATATAGGGCAGCTTAAGTTGCATTCATGTGTATTGTGGAAGACTTCCATGGCCGGAATCACTAAGTTGCTGCGAGTTTTCCGGACTGTATTGTCATGTTCCAGAAGCATTAGTCCTGACGTTTCGCCCACATCTTTGGCAGGCATCCTCAGAGGTTGTGAAGTTTTTTGGAAACTATGAAAGTGGAGTTTATATATCTGTGAAAGGTCCAGGGTGGGAGAAAGAAGTCTTGTTTGCTTGAGGCAAGTGTGAATGTAGTGTGAATGTTGCAACATCTCCGGATGTTGTTCTGTGGAATTGGTTGGTTCTTTCTCTGAAAGGGAAGGAAAGGAAAGGGGGATTCAGCTACACTTGGGCTGGATCCACACTGCCATATAATGCGGTTGGAACTGCACTGTATTGTCAATGTAGACGGTAAAATGCTGCCTGTTAGAACCCATTTTCTCACACCAGAAACGATTTGCAGTTTCTCAAGTCGCTCCTGACACGGAAAAAAAAAATCATCTAAGCCATAGATGTGGGAGAATGCTTCTGGAACATGGCCATACAGTCCGAAAAACTCACAACAACCCTGCATTTACGTGGTCAATGTAAATTCATATAATGCAGCTCAATAATAATAATAATAATAATAATACTTTATTTATAACCCGCCCTATCTTCCCGAGGGAACCCAGGGCTGTTTCCCAACAAAAGTAACAGAGTGACAAACATTGAGTGCTGAAAACAACAAATAACAAACCAAAACACTGTTCAAACTGCATTATATGGGTCCACACTGGCGATGTAATGCAGCTGAGATGTCATTAAATGGCCATGTAGATCCAGCCTGAGACTCATTGTAAAACAATGCGGTTGCTATATCCCAGCTCGGAGTCCATCCGCTGACAATCAGTTGTTGATTTCTGGAAATCCCGTTGATTTCATGGATCTACTCCAATTGGGACTAGACATGGGATCGAGGCCCTTCGAGCTCTGTTTCTAAACTCAAAATAATGCAACACAGAGCTGCTGGGTTTCTCTGTTCCCTGTGAAATTTATGGTGATTGATGTGTCAGAAATGCTACTTCCAGGAGAGCTGACCGACCCTTTTGGAACTTGAAATAAGAAGCAAGTTGTCATGGCGGGAATCATTGGGTTGCTGTGAATTTTCTGGGCTGTTGGGCCATGTTCCAGAAGCATTTTCTCCTGACATTTCACCCACATCTATGCCTCAGAGGAATATTTCCCGGTGTCAGGAGCGACTTGAGAAATTGCAAGTCGCTTCTGGTGTGAGAGAATTGGCTGTCTGCAAGGACGTTGCCCGAATATTTGATGTTTTACCATTCTTGTGGATGCCTGCCATAGATGTAGGCAAAACTTCAGGAGAGAATGCTTCTGGAACATCGCCATGCAGCCCGGAAAACTCACAGCAACCCAAAAAGCAAGTTGTTGGGAACCGGTCTTCTTGTGGTTTGGTCTGGTCTTGACGCAGCCCCATCCAGGTTTTCCCTAAACCCCATTGATTCCTTGAGACTGACTTTTTAGGAGTGGAAAAAGTTCGTTACTTCCAAAGGGAAGAAACTTGCCCATCGTCTCCTTCTTCCAAATTTGGTTTCAGGGGGGAAAAGAAGTGTGGAGGGGGACGCGATGGTTATTTCTGTTCCAAAACAATAAGTGTTAGAGAAGTGAGGTAATATTGAGGACCAAGGAATTTTGCACTGACCCAAAAGAGAGGGGTGAGGAGGGAGGGCAAGGGAGGTCGTATTTCCAAAGGCTTTTTTTTGTTTACTTTTGGATAGTGATCACAAAAATAATACTTTTCCCCCAAAAATAGTACCAATGTACAGTGAAGCGATGGCGGGGAAGGGTAAGGGGAGGGGAGGGCAAAAGAAGAAAGATTGAAAGAGAATGAGAATGTTCTGGAAATGCTTTAATATTTTTTTCATCAAAAGGGACAAATCCCTTCCCAAAAAAGAAAAGGTGGGGGAGAGGCCCAAGGGAGGGGGTGGGGTGGGGGGAGGAAGAGATGGAAATAATACATGCATGCCCTGGAAAAGAACAAAAAAATGTTGGGAAATCTTGGAAAGATTCAATGATGAGGTCTAGGGAGAATGGATGGACGTATTTATTTATTTATTTATTTATTCTCGATTTATTTATTATAGTTTAATAATTTATAATGCGTGTCGAATGAGATATCTATCTATATATATATATCTATATTTGGGTTGGTCCTTTTCGTGTGTACCATTGTTTGCAGAGCAAACGTTTCTATGCATTCGAAACTGAGCACTAAAAAAAAAAGAAGACAAAAAAAAAAGATTTAGACTAGTTTCCGGCAATGTTTTCTTCCATTTTTTCCCTTCCCCTCTTGTTTGTTTGTTTTTTTTCATTGGAGAATGATGGATGTGATTGTAACACAGTCGGCTGCCTGTTTTTCCCCCCTCACATAACACATACACACCGAAGGCACACTCACAGAGACACTTCACACACAGAAAAACAGACACACAAACACACCTAAGTCCTTGTTCACGTTGCTTGTATTTAGATTTTTTAACCAACAGCGACAACAACAAAAAAACGGATTAAAAAAAGGAAAAATATCTTTGTAAATATTTTCTTTAATGCACAAAAGAAGGGGCAAAAATAGGGAGGAAGAGCCACAGGCCTCTTAAGGGTCTGCCTGGATCTATCTCTCCATGTTCGTGTACTGAGCTTTCTCCTTGGTTTGGGGTCTTCTTGGTTGTCTTGGGGCTTGTTTTCCTCTCCAGCTTTGCATCCCCATCGGCAGGATCTCTGTATGCCAAACGGTAGGACAGGGATAGGTGTCCCAACACACCAACGAATCAAACAAACCTGGGAAACAAAACAAAACAATGGGTTGTTGTAGCTTTTTCGGGCTGTTCTGAGAGCATTCTCTCCTGACGTTTTGCCTACATCTATGGCAGGCATTTGACAATACATAAAACAAAACAAGTATTATGATTGTGGGTTGTTGTGAGTTTTCCGGGTCATGTTCCAGAAGCATTCTCTCCTGACGTTTCGCCTGCATCTATGGCAGACATCCTCAGATGTTGTGAGGTCTGTTGAAAACTAGAAAAAAATGGGTTTATATATCAGTGCATTGTCCAGGTTGGGAGAAATAACTTGTCTATTTGAGGTAGGTGTGAATGTTTTAATTGGCCACACAGCCTCTGATAATGCCTTCCATACATGCAGGCGAAACGTCAGGAGAGAATGCTTCTGGAACATGGCCATACAGCCCGGAAAACTCACAGCAACCCAGTGATTCCGGCCATGAAAGCCTTCGACAATATATCATGATTGTGTTGTCGAAGGCTTTCCAACCCAGTATTATGATTCCTTATTGTTTCTTGATAAAGGGCTTCCTTTTCTCATCCTCCCCCTTTTCCCGACACACAGCTGCTAAAAAATAAAATTGAATACGGGAGAAGAGAAAAAAAACGAGACACAGTCTACCAAAAACAAAAATTAACCAATCGAGAGTGGTATTTTTTCTGCAAGGTTCAGGACTCCTGACTACAAGAGAGCTCTTGGGTGAAAGTGGAGGCTCTGAATAAAATGGACTCTCTCTATTCGCCGCCTGTGTTTCTTGGTGTCAGGGCAGAAAACCCAGGTTTGAAAAGGCCAAAAATGGAAATTGGATCTCTCTCTCATTTTTTAAAGCCTTCCTTCGTTGGTTTCTTGGGAATGTTCTGTTTCCCTTTTGTGTTCTGTTTGCAAAAGTTTGCTGATAGGATTGCGACGCATCATCCGCAACAATCTCTGTAAAGCGAACCAAGTTAGAGTAGCTCTCGGCTGATATATATATTGCACCTGATGTAACATAAATGGACAAGTTATTTTTATTTTTGGTTAATAAATATGAAAATCACAAAAAAACGGAGCTCTCCGGATGTTCAATGTGTTGTCGAAGGCGGAGTCACTGGGTTGCTGTGAGTTTTCTGGGCTGTATGACCATGTTCCAGAAGCATTCTCTCCTGAGGTTTCACCCACATCTATGGCAGGCATCCTCAGAGGTTGTGAGGTCTGTTGGAAACTAGGCAAGTGGGGTTTATATACCTGTGGAAGGTCCAGGGTGGGAAAAATAACTCTTGTCTGCTTGGAGAAAGTGTGAATGTTGCAATTGGCCCCCTTGAATGATTAGCATTGAATAGCCTTGCAGCTTCAAAGCCATTTCAAACAGAAAGGAAACTAGGCAAGTGAGGTTTATATATCTGTGGAAGGTCCAGGGTGGGGGAAAGAACTCTTGTCTGTTTGCGGCAAGTGTGGTTGTTGTAATTGGCTCCCTTGATTAGCATTTAATGGCCTTGCAGCTTCAAAGCCATTTCAATCAGAAAGGAAACTGGGCAAGTGAGGTTTATATATCTGTGGAAGGTCGAGGGTGGGGGAAAGAACTCTTGTCTGTTGCACTGAATAGCCTTGCAGCTTCAAAGCCATTTCAAACAGAAAGGAAACTAGGCAAGTGGGGTTTATGTATCTGTGGAAGGTCCACGGTGAGGGAAAGATCTCTTGTCTGTTTGCGGCAAGTGTAAATGTTTCAACATCTCCAGATGTTGTTCTGTGGAGATGTTGTTCTGTGGCCAGAAGAGGGGAGAAGAGGAAAGGGCGCCTGATCCAGATACAGTTGGGCTGGATCCACACTGCCATATAATGCGGTTGGAACTGCATTGTATGGTCAATGTAGACGGTATAAGGTAGCTCAAACTGCATTATATGAGTCTACAACCATCGTTCAAACTGCATCCTTTGGTAGTGGAGCTTCAGCTGGTCTTGGGGATAGTTTTCGCCCAGATTTCTCTACTCGGAAATAAGTCTCCACAAAGTCCTTGCAAAATGTCCAGGAAAATAAACAGACCTTTCCAGTCTCGCGCTGAAAAGGAACTACATTTTGAACTTTATTTGGGAGTAAATATTTTTAGCCTGCGGATGTTGGGACTCATTTGAAGATCATTCAAATAGGCGAGCCTGGCTTTGGGATGCTTCCAAACTGAGGGAAGAAACATGGCTTCCAAGGTGGGATCTGTTTACATCTTTGGTTATTTCTCTTTCTAGCTCATTCCTTTTCATTTTGGCCGCAATGCTGTGACTCCAAAGGTTTGGTAAACAGAGTCTCCAAAGGCTGTGACTTAAAAAAATTAAACCTCTATCGATAGGGGGAAAAAGGAGTTTGCAATCCTATCTACTTATTGTCGAAGGCTTTCATGGCCGGAATCACTGCGTTGTTGCGTGTTTTTCGGGCTGTATGGCTATGTTCCAGAAGCATTCTCTCCTGACATTTCGCCTGCATCAATGGCAGGCATCCTCACAACCTCTGAGGATGCCTGCCATAGATGCAGGCGAAACGTCAGGAGAGAATGCTTCTGGAACATGGCCATACAGCCCGAAAAACTCACAACAACCCAATCCTATCTGCACTTGCCCGATGCGTAATGGGGCTTATTTCTGAGTAGAGAGGCATAAGATTGCACTTTAAATGTTTTTTTGTTTCCATTTAAGAACCATCAAACGTTTCTTTTTTTAAAAAAAGTACATTTCTTTCACCGAAAACAGATTTGTTTCTTGTGTTTATGAACTCGAAATGTCCTCTGACTTTTTGAATAAATGGATTTGTTTAAAAAAGAGAGATTATTTTATACATAGGGTCTATCGGATATCATTATTCTGGAGGGGGGGGGGGGACGGGACCCGGGAATGACCAAATAAATTGGATATCTAGACGTGTTTTTTTAATTTTATTTTTCATTTTCATGATCTAATTGAAATATGTGATAGCTCACTATCAACAAAACACACCAAACACTTTCCATTGATAATATTGCTGATGATTAGGGGGAAATCATGTTTGATTTGTAACTATCCAAACTTTGTGCGGTTTCCAGATCTACTATTAATGAGAAGTGGTTAAGAAGGAATCCTTTTCTCTGTAGTGTTGGGGGAAAATAGAAGGAGTTTTAGTCTATGCATTCTTAAGACAAATAAAGGCGCTTCCCATAGGGATAAACAAGGAAAATGGTTCAGAAAAAAATTAAGTAGTCCTCGCCTCCTCGGAAGCAAGATCTGTTAGATTCAGGACCCTTCCACATAGGCATATAACCCAGAATAGCAAGGCAGAAAATACCACAATATCTGCTTTGAACTGGGTTATCTGAGTCTACACTGCTATATATTCCGGTTCAAAAACAGATAATATGGGATTTTGTTCAGCTGTGTGGAAGGGGCCTGATTGGGCCCTAATCTGAAATAACTACAAACAAGACCTCAGTAACTAGATTGTTACTAAACAATCCTAAACGCTGGTTGTAAACTGTCATCTAAATGCATCATAGGAACTTGCTTTCTGTAGTTAGTCAGTGCAGAACTAACCAAAGGCAGGAAGGATGGAATGCTCTGTGGTGTATTCTTTTATATTGCCTCTGTTCAAAAATAGTTTTTAAAATGTTGCTTCTGTTGAAATTTGCAAGCGCATTTCCTCCAAAGGTGCTTAGGCCCCTTTTACATTAAATCCAGACTGTCTGATTTGAACCGGATTATATGCGTATACACTGACCTTGAAGGAGCTGGGGGTGGTGACGGCCGACAGGGAGCTCTGGCGTGGGCTGGTCCATGAGGTCACGAAGAGTCGGAGATGACTGAACGAATGAACAACAACAACAACACTGCCATATAATCCAGTTCAAAGCAGATCATCTGGATTTTATCTGGCAGTGTAGTGGGACCTAAGAGAGCAGGGAGGGATGCCTTTCCCTTTTTTCCCTTGAGAAACTGTAAGTCGCTTCTGGTGTGAGAGAATTGGCTGTCTGCAAGAACATTGCCCAAGGGATTCCCGGATGTTTGATGTTTTAGCATCCTTGTGACAGGCTTCTCTCATGTCCCCGCATGGGGAGCTGGAGCTGACAGAGGGGGCTCAACCCGCTTCCCCCGATTTCAGTCTTGCCGGGACAAGGGATTCGAACCACTGAACTGTTGGTCAGCAGCCCTGCCGGCACAAGGGTTTAACCCAGTGGTTCTCAACCTGGGGTCCCCAGATGTTTTTGGCCTACAATTCCCAGAGCTCTCAGTCAGTTTACCAGCTGTTAGGATTTCTGGGAGTTGAAGGCCAAAAACATCTGGGGACCCCAGGTTGAGAACCACTGGTTAACCCATTGCGCCACTGTGGCTCCTTTGCCTTTCCCTGTCTTCATCTTTAGGATATTAATACTCTTCCGCCCCATCTACACTGGCCATTTGCTGTAGTTTTAAACCACTCTTGAAGAGAGTGGTTTCACTGTTGTTCACACAGGAAATCCTGGAACCCAGGATTTCCTGTTTGAGACCCAGATAGTGATAACACTAACCACGGAGCATTGTTGCGCATTAAGGGTTTTCTTTGGTGCTTATCGTGCCTGGATCCCGCAGTTTGAAGTTGGCTTCAAACTGCATTCAATGGGTAAGTGGTGTCTTTCCACACAGCCATATAACCCAGAATATCAAGGCAGAAAATCCCACAATATTTGCTTTGAACGGGATTATCTGAGTCCACATGTGGATTTTATACAGCTGTGTGAAAGTGAGGGTAGGGACGAATTCAGAGGCACTCTCCCTGGGGCAGTGCAGACCAAACAGGCCTGGCCTTCCTGCTGAGCTCAGTGTCCAAACCCTGGCTCTTCACCGGAAGCCTGCAAAGCCGCCCGGATGTCAGAGCCACTCAGTGGCACCAGATTTGCTCCGGGGGCAGAAAGGGTCGGGTGCGGGTGACTTTCCAGACCCCGCTGCCCCGGGTTAAGGGCGTTGAGACCCACCTCCAGGCCAGGGCACTAGGCAGCTCTCTTCGGGGATCCTCCTTGGCCATTTCC